AAAAAAAAATGTTTTTATTGAACTATAATTAACAAACATCATCAGGTAATTAAATTAACATAAATCCAAGATGCATAGAGAAAAAAATAGAAAATACAAACAAATCTACTAAAAAGTAAATAGACAGGTACTGTGCATGGACAAATTTACCAGATATGTAAAATATTACCATATTATAGTCTATTGCTATTGAGGTAAAACATAAAATCCATCCAAATTTGATAAAATTGTGATTCCTGCCTCTAATGTCTCATTATTTTAACTTTGTAATTTTTTCTAATGTAGCAATTGAAGAGGCCTTCTTAATCCACATCTCAACTGTTAAAGTTATCTACAGTTTTTGAATGTTGGGCAATTATTATTTTAGCTGCTAAAATTAGATAATTCCTTATTTTTAAGCTTGAGGTTTGGTCCTGTAAAAAAAAATGCAGTAAGCCTAACTCTGGGAGCATTCATTTAGTGATGGTACTTATCTCCCTAAAAATTTTACACCAAAGGGGAATAGCTTTATTGCATGACTACCACAAATGAAAAAATTACCCCCCCCTTTTTTTTTTTACAACCTCTCCAAAATTTGGAAGAATAATTTTGATATATATGTGCCAATTTAAGTGGAGTCAAGTGCCAGTGATGTATAATCTTCCACTGCAGTTCCTGCATTGAAGCTGAGGTGAATCCACTCAGTTTCCATAATTTCTGCTAATGTGTCTTCTGTACAGATTTACCAAGAACAGTATCGCAGGCTTCCTTTAAACTATGGGGTGGATCTCCTATTTCCATTTGCAACAATATCCTATACATTTTTGAGGTTGTTCCTTTTGGTTTAAGTAGTTAAGTATTAAATTCTCAAAATTGGTATAAGGCCATATCTTAACATGCAGGGCTAAAACACTCTAATAATCATGCTGTTTGGCATCTTATTTCTGATCCTTAATTTAGAGTTTACCATGGTGGGGAGACAGAGATTGGTTTTTTTTATTATTATTATTGTGATAAAAAAAACTGAGATATGAAATGAAATGATTTTTTAAAAGATACATATTTTATGTGAGCTGTCTAAAGACTAGGTGAGATAAACATTTTGTAAAATAAATCAAGAAAAAATAGTTTTAGAAATAACCAATGAATATGACATTTTATAAAAATACATAAAACTGACCAACAGGTAATATATACAATAAAATGTTTGCATCAATGATTATGCAGAGAAGCACACATATACATTCTTATAGCAGCTCCCAGACAATGACTTACCTCAGTGTAGTCTGAGACAAAAAAAGATGTTGTCCCATCATATTCTACAAAATGCTGTGGAAACAGTCTAATCCATGTGTCATCACCGTAGAATATTATCCTTTTCCCAGCAGTTTTGGCCTGCCATATCAAGTTGTCTTCCAGCAAGGCTGGAGAGTTAAGGTTCATTACGATATCAATGAAACCTGGGATGCTACCAGTTGTAAGTGCCTGCAATTAGATCCCCCGAGAACAAAGGAGAGATGGGACAAGCATTAGATGTGGTTTGAGTAGAACAGAAACCTGACATTGGACAAGAACACAATCCTGCATGTGTGTACACATATATTGCAGACAGTTGATGAGCCAGTCAACTGATAAAAGTTAACACATTTTCACAAGTGTCAAAAAGCTCCTGTACTACTTCAGCATTCTGCCCAGTGCAGGAAGCCACTACTATAGCAATTTAGGCATGAGTAATATATTCTGAGGAGTTATGAATTAGTGCAGTTAACTGGGGAAGAGAGAATGTAAACACACACCTACACCCAGCATCTTGTGAATGTTTATCAAGTGCCTCTCCAGTTTGGGTATTATGTGCTATCAACTCATAAAGTGCTGACTATCAGAATCTAAAATCAGGACGGGGAGAAAGAACAACACAGGCATTCTTTTCCTCCCACCCACTATGGCATGGAATAATCTCTGAATCAGAATATTTTAAATAATGTAGACACTGGAACTGAGTACTGGTTGTACTCAGTACTTACAAACAGTACTTACTGAAACAGGCTGTACTCATTGAGTAGTCAACCCCTTTAAGCAAATGCCCACCCTTAATTCAGTATAGGTACACTGTTAATGCCTGAGACTAATTCAGGACTAAAGTACTGAATTTAGTGCTCTTAGTATGACTAACCTTTACTGATTAGTCTAGGAAGCTAGTGAAATTATTATTTTTTCACTGTACTCAGTTCCACATCATAGCAGAATGAACCATGACCTTTGTGAGAAAACATTCATGTTGTCAAAAACAAAGAGCGTATTTCTGCAACAGTTATTAAGCATGCCTTCGTATATAGCAAAGTCAGAAAACAACATCACAAGAGAGTAGAATTTAATTTTACAGGAAAGCATAGATTCCATGCAGGCTTCCAGTCTATATGACAGTAAAAATATAAATCTAGGCATGTGGGCCACTGAAGATCAAGCTCAAATACAAAATTCCCAACCAGGCTCTTTTGGGGATCAAAAGCATATATGGAATCACAGGCTGACCATAATACTTGTACACCGTGTGCACAATTATTAGGCAAGTGAGTATTTTGACCATATCATCATTTTTAGGCATATTTTCCACTTCCAAGCTGTATAAACCTGAATGCTTATTGGATATAAGCATATCAGGTGATGTGTATTTGT